ACTCGTACTAGTCCCACTAAAGCTGAGGAGATTATTCGGCCGCTTGCTGACTACCTATAGGAAATGGTGGTTACGGATCAGCAAGTCTCCTTGGGCTGCTCCAGTGGTGATGGTCAAAAAGAAAGATGGTACATGGCATCTCTGCGTGAACTACAAGGGATTAAATGATAGGATAGTGAATATTATGTACCCGATCCCTTGTATCGATGATATGCTTGATCGTCTTCGTGGAGCTCGATATTTTGCAAAGGTTGATTAGAGGCAAGGATATCATCAGATTTGTGTCAAGCCAGAGGATGTTCCGAAAATTGCATTACGAACAAGGACAGGTCACTACGAGTTTTTAGTGATGCTATTTGGTTTGACAAATGCTTTTGCAACTTTGCAGAGATTGATGAATCACGTTCTACAAACTTACTTGGGAAAGTTTGCAATTGATTATTTTGATGATATCCTAGTATTCAGCTCTTCCGTGGAGGAACATGAGATGCATGTGCGAAGTGTTTTACAACTTTTGAGGGATAACAAGCTCTACTCAAAGTTATCCAAGTGCGAGTTTTTTTAGAGGAGATTGAATATCTCAGGCATTTGATTTTGGTACATGGAGTGAGAGCTGATCCCACAAAGATTCAGGCCATGGTTGATTGGCCTATACCTTCGATAGTGCATGATCTTCATAGTTTCCTTAGTATGGCTGGAGTTTTTCGACGATTTGTGAAGGACTTTTCAGGGATAGCAGCCCCTTGAACTGATCTTCTCCAGAATACGTCAAAACATGCTACTATTCATGGTTGGGATGAGAAGTGTGAAGTGGCATTTCAACATTTGAAGCAGTGTTGTATCTTTGCTCCGGTGTTGAAGATTTTTGATCCTAAAAAGCCTTTTGTGGTCGAGACAGATACAAGTGACATTGCTATTAGAGCTGTCTTGCTTCAAGTTGGGCATCCTCTTGCATACATGAGCCATAAGTTTGATGCCACACAGCGGAATTGGCCTACTCAAGACAAAGAGTTGTATGTTGTGATTGCTGCTATGAAGGAATGGCGACATTATTTATATGGATTGGACTTCCATGTGGATTCAGACCATCAATTTCTCCAATATTTCAGTTGACAAAAGGATCTTCGAGGCCGCCTTGCTCGTTGGCAAGAGTTTTTGCAGGAAATGTCTGTTAAGATCCGGTACAAGCATGGAGGTGACAATAAGGTGGCTGATGCATTATCCAGGATAGTAAATTCTATCTCGTTCGTGAAGCTATCTAGCGATCTCTTGGATGAGCTTAAGGAGTTTGTTGACTTCGACTCCTTTATCACTGATATTCACATGAAGGTTTTGTTGAGGGACACCTCTATAGATTTGAAGGGTGACAAGTTTGTGTCATTTGAAATACGAGATGGAATTCTGGTGAAGAAGGGATGTGTAGTTATTCCTCATGTTGACAAACTCATTAAACAGATTTTGGTTGAATGTTATGATGTGCTAAGTGTTGGGCATCCGGGGGTATTGAGAACGTATATGTTGGTGAAGAGGCATTTCTTTTGGCCTGGGATGAAGTCAAATGTTGAGAAGTACGTAGGTGGTTGTTTGACCTGCCAGGCGGTCAAAGTTGATCATCAGAAGTTTGTTGGCCTCTATCATCCTTTACGTATACCTAAGAATAAGTGGGATAGCATCTCGATGGACTTTATCACTGGTTTGCCCAAAACCTTTCGAGGAAATGATGTTATTTGGGTTGTTGTGGATCGTTTGACGAAGATGGCTCACTTCTTCCTTGTGAAGACAACGATAAAAGCTTCTGAACTTGCTCAGTTATTTGTAGACTGGTTATTCAGTTTTTATGGTTTGTTGGGTGACATTGTGAGTGATCGGGATCCTAAGTTCACGTCCAAGTTTTGGCAAACAGTCTTTGAAAAACTAAAGACTAAACTGAGCATGAGTAGTGGTGAGCATCCACAATCTGATGGGCAGATAGAGCGCATGAATCAGCTATTAGAAGATATGCTACAATCTTTTGTGGGAAATTTGACTAGACAAGGAGTATGGGAGAAATACTTGCCTTTGCTTCAGTTTGCTCACAATAGCACTCATCAATTGGCTATTGGCATGTCTCCTTTTATGGCGATGTATAGCTATGAGCCTAGGTCTCCTGTGAGTTTGAATTTGGCTTTGGTTCGGGTTCCTCATGCTTGTGATTTCCTGGAGGATATGCAAGACAAACTTGAGTTGGTAAAATTGAACATGAGGCAAGCTCAAGAACGAGACAAAAGATTGGCTGATGAGCATCGTCGTCATCAAGAGTACAAAGTTGGTGACAAGGTTTTCCTTAAGTTGTCAGATGCACAATGGTCTCTAAAAGGAGGTGGCAGTGCTAAGTTGTCTCCACGGTATTGTGAGCCTTGGACAATTTTACAGCATGTGGGGGATCTTGCATACACTTTGGACTTGCCAGTTAGTTCGAAGATTCATCCAACATTCCATGTGAGCAAGCTTAAAGCGTGTTTGCACTCTGGTGATATCGTGGATCAGTCCATCATCCAGGTTCCAGAGATTGATGCAGAGAAGGGCTGGTCCAGCCAATATTCTTGCTCAAAGATTGGTGAAAACACGCCAGAAAACAAATAGGGAGTTGTTAGTTCAGTGGAATGGGTATTCCATGGACGAAGCTACATGGGAAACTGAGGATGACATGAAGAGAGTGTTTTTGAGTTTTGGTTATGACTTGGATGACATTCCTGAGGAAGGGGAGAATTGAGTTTTATAGCTATATTGTTATATGATTTGAGCTGTTTGTTCTATTCTCATTCTCTTGTTTTCCATGACCGTATTGTCATGTGAGAAAGCCGTATTGCTTTCTTTCTTTCATGGCCGTTTGTCACGATGTTGGTGTTGCCGTTTGCACATCTTTTCTCCATGGCCGTATTGCCTTAAACTCCCTTCATGTGAGGCCTGTTTAGCTTCTCAAAGCTGCCGTATGTGGCTGGGTCATGAGGGAGGGGAGAATGACATGAACCACGAGAATATTCTAAGAAAATTCCATGGTCTGTGGGATTTAAGGCCGTAATGCCTTAAGGGTTGGGAGGCTGGCCTAGGGTTTGCTCTCTTGTTTGTTTCACCATGCTAGCTGGTGGAGTACCCATGTCCTCACGTTAGGCCACCAATATGCCGAAATAGCGCCAGACTCCGTTTGGCTCCATTTTGCGTGTTGGTCCTGGCATTAGGATGCTGGTTACTCTAGGACTGTTCCAAGTCGCTCCAGGTTCCTGTCCCTTCGCTCCTTGGGCTATATGCTCGGGAGTCATTTTGTGCTCCAGTGCTAATGCTCCTTGGCTCCATGCTTGGGAGTTTGGCATTGTTCCTTCGTTCAATGGCCCTTGGGTTCCGCACCACTATCCTTTGGATGCGTGGCATATGACACATGGCACATGTCATGTGGCATAAAGAGGGTTTAGGTTCTGCTTCATGATGTTATCCTATGGTAAATCACCATAGGATAAAGGGTCAAAACCATGTGCGCTACAACTATTGGCTGTTCTCCATGGGAGATGCTGCAAGGGAATGCTCGTGGGGTGCCTCAATAGATTGTTGTACCGAAACCAATGTCCGAAGTGTTGGTCCTGGCTGTTGAGACTTATGTAGAGCAGCTATGCCAAGGTTGGACTAAAGCTATTGAGGCGATGGGCAAAGCTCAAGATAGGTATCGATGTGATAAGGATCAGCATTGTCGAGATGTATCCTATCAAGTGGGAGATCAGGTATGGCTATCTTCCTGGAACTTGAACATTAAAGGATCTTTATCTCGGAAGCTGTTACCGAGATATGTTGGACTCTATCAGGTGGTGAAGCAAGTTGGTGATGCATCCTATAAGTTGGATCTTCTGGATGAGTTGTCCCATGTACATAATGTGTTTCATGTCAGTTTACTAGCACCATATAGTGTTGATGTGGATCGCTCTATGGACATTCGTCCCCCTCCGGAAGTTGTGAATGGTGACATGGAGTATGAGGTCAAGGTGATTCTCTTGTCCCACAAAGCTCGTAATGGTTGTTCCAAGGAATATTTAGTTAAGTGGAAAGGTTACCCGACTTGTGAATCAACTTGGGAACCTCTTAGGAATCTTACATATGCTCATGAGCTTGTTACAAAGTATGAGAATAATAATAAAGACTAGTTTTTTAAAACTTTGTAACAAAACTTACAAATTAATCAGTAATATATTTTTATAAATCACATGTGTCATCTCTCTTGTTCCTTAGTACTTGGGTTAGTTTTGGTAGGTTGACTTCGACACTTTGGTGCATGGGTCCAATCCATAACCATGGGGATAACTATTATAGACTGATCACAAGTCCCTGCTTTTCTCTCAATGACTCATTTTTGACAAAGGGGCGTGGTCATGTAAACAACTTAATCTGCCAGTTTATAATAGTTGTTTAAATCTTCCCAACGGGGTTGATTTCTTGCTCAGGGGAAGTGGGGCCTTTAGCCTTCTCCCTATGTCTCTACGGGCAGGGATATCATTCCTTTGAAAACCGAGTGGTACTTGGAGTAGCAAGGGTGGCTAACTACATTAGTCATTTCCTTGTCAGCGACGGTTGGAGGGTATCTGAGTCTTAACGTCTTTGGATGTAGAGGAGAGGTCATTCCATAACTCATTTAAGTCGGTGTGTTTCCTATATAGTGTGCTTTTCGTTAACTTTTAGAGTTGTTTTCTTGACGGTTTGCTAGACTCAGGTATACATCAATAAGGACATCGATCTTCCCCAAGGGGGAAAGAGTGTCACAAATGTGACTTCGGGTATCAAAAGATATTTGTGTGAGACACAAAATCCCAAGGTGGAGCCGGAAAGGGTGCCACGTGGTAGTGGCCGAAGCGAAAGCCAAACGAGCATAAGACGTTTGGACTAAAAGCTCCGACTTGGAAGGTCGAGAGCGGGAGTGGAACTCCCAACAAAGTGCCCGAGGAGAAAGCACGAGGCAGACTCGAGTTGGAGTCCGAGATGGACCCGAAGTGGAGTCCGATATAGAGTCCGAGATAGACCCAAAGTGGAGTCCGATATAGAGTTCGAGATGGAGTCCGAGATGGACCCGAAGTGGAGTCCGATATGGAGTCCGAGATGGAGTTCGAGATGGACCCGAAGTGGAGTCCGATATGGAGTCCGAGATGGAGTCCGATATGGAGTCCGAGATGGAGTCCGATATGGAGTCCGAGATGGAGTCCGAGATGGACCCGAAATGGAGTCCGAGATGGACCCGAGATGGAGTCCGAGATGGACCCAATATGGAGTCCGAGATGGAGTCCGATATGGAGTCCGAGATGGAACTGAGACCGGGACCGGGACCGAGACCGAGACCGAGACCGAGACCGAGACCGAGTCCGAGTCCGAATCCGGGACCGAGACCGAGTCCGAGTCCGAATACTAATACAGGCAGTTGGGTGAAAGCCCAAAGCGATCGTCCCCCAGGTGGGGGGGGGGGGCTGCGGGGGGTTCCAAAAGTATAGTAAGGAGAGTGTGGGGGTTGGAGCCCAGTGGAGCTAGTTTGGCCAGGAAAGGCCAGTTTGGCCCAGGAAGGCCAGACCCAGTGTTGGGTGATGAGCTGACCACTGGGAAGTCCAAGACTAGAGTGAACATGGACCGACAAGCAGGGTAGCTTGGTGAAGTGTTCAAGAGCCGGCTCTAGTTCCCCTAGGAGATCGACTGGCCGATGCTCCCAGTCCAAGTGTGGGTGGCACTACCTACTTGGATACCAGGCGTGGCTCAACGGAACCTCGCTCTAAGCCCATGGCTAGAGCACCCAAGGGCGGAAGGTGGGGAGAGTACCCAGGTGGCTCGCGTAAGGCCACGGTGTTCCGAAATGTTGTCCCAAAGGCCCAGACTGTGAAAAGGAAGAGGAGCAGTCCTCTGGGGCAGTGACCAAGGACACAGTCGTGTGGGGAGGAAGTCCAAGAAGACCGTGGGACTTAGTGGTCGGGCCTGTGGGCCTCAATCCAGTGGCAGTGTTGGCAAACACGGCCAGGGGCAGAAAGGGACTTAGTGGGGACTGACAGAGGGATATTGGGGAAGGTTATTCCCCTTGTCGGTGGGCATTCTAAGGATGCTAAGGAGTGGATCTGAGATGACCACTCACGGATGGTTTGCCTAGTCTTGGAGAGCCAAGACTGTGATGCAAGTTGTATTGGACTACCAGTGTGGCAAAGGTGATTGGGCATGGCCTTAGCGTAACAAGCTGCCATGTCGGTGGTACCTTTGAGTGTCGGTCATGGGATCGGACACGTGGAGCACTTGGACCAAGTGCAAATGTGGAGTGGCATGGATGCCATTCTCAGGGCTACCAAGTCCCAAGTCCTGAAATGGACTTATGGAGGTTGTGAATGAGACTCCTCCAAGTGGTCGGAGGTGTGGTTAAGTGACTAAAGTAGAATGGAAAATTTAGTCACTTACAATTTGTCGGCTAGTCCTTACAGACACTCTTTCCCATGATGGCAGAAGGTTGGTACACTTGGTTCCCTTTATCATTCGCACTTGAACTAGTTGAGAAACTAGTCAATGACTTTATATTTAAATTGGATAAACATAAGGTAGGAACCCTATGTGTTTTTTGCTAAGTATACTTGGCCTGATTTGAGAAACTCGTGTCATTGTCTTGCACTTACTAGTATCAAGAACCCCCACGTATTGAAACTAGTCCCTCAATATTGCTAAATGATAGTTTACCATGTCTGCCAAACACCCTCGCTATCATGCCCTTTGTGTTGGTCTCATTTCAGTTCCAAATGCTATTTATGGAAAGTGTATGGATTTGCTTATTTGGCATATCTACAGAATGTAGTGATTGGCCTGAATACAATGGTGTTTGTCCCGTGTCCAAATTTGCAATCTAGGGACATTCCATGTTTAATAAGTTTCAAACTTGTTCTAGAGACTAACTCTTGGTACTATGGGAGGCTTGGGGTGAAATCCCAAAGCGTGTGTTCCTTGGGGGGGGGGGGAGCCTAGCGGGAGCCAAACTAATATCTCAGGTGGTCAGACATGCATTCCAACCACTATCTCTACTATACATTTGGAACCCCCTAGGTGAGCTACACTTAATCCCAAATATCCCAAGGCCCTTAATCAATTAAAGGGCTTCTTATTCATAGGCACTTTCCCTTTATTTGAACCGGATAGATTATCTCTCAAGTCATTCTCTTTGGTTGCTTATAATCCACCATACTTTTTTGCAAATCCACACCCTCATAAACGGAAGCTTAGAGTTGCCACTCTCTCGAGAGCCTTGCTCTCTTGATACCTTACCCCTTGGGTAGATGTAGTGCACATGGTTTTTACCCATTTATTCTATAATAATTTATTATAGGATAACCATGAAGTGGAACCTAAACCCTCAATGTGATATATATCATATGCCATATGCCACATACCATGTGTCCCCAAAGACAATGGAGCATCTAACATCCCAATGCCAGGACCAGTACGCAAAACAGAGCTAATCAAAGTTTGGTGCTGTTTTAGTATACCAATGGCCTAGCGCATGGACATAAGTACTCCACTAGTTAGCATGGTGTGGAACTTGGGTTTAGACCCAAGCCAAATGTAAAACAAGGACAAGTATGCAAGTGAGACTTAGACTATGCCTCAGATTGGTCAACCATGCTTGATCTACCCACTATCTCTATTATACAAAACTTACTAAATATGGAATATCCCTAAATTATAAATTTAGACACGGGATGAATTGTGTTTAAAGCAATCTCTACATTCTGTAGATATGCCAAATGAGTAAATTAGACACATTTCATAAATAGCATTAGAGACTGGAATGAGACTAACACAAAGAGCATGATAACGAGGGTGTTTGGCAAACATGGTAAGCTATCATTTAGCAATATTAAGGGACAAATCTCAATATTTGAGGGTTTTTGCTATTAGCAAGTGCAAGTCAATGACATAAGTTTCTCAAACTAGGCCAAGTATGCTTAACAAGAAACATATAGGGTTTCTATCTTATGTTTATCTGTTTAAGTTCATATGTATTGTTCAATTTTTCAACTAGTTTAGGTGGAGATTAATAAAGGGTCCAACAATACCGACCTCTTGTTGTCATGGCAATAAAGAAAGAATATCTGAAAGGACTAACCAACAGGTAACTTTCAATACTCAAAGTCATATTTGTGATAATAGAGCACAACTGGAGCAAATTAAACCTGTAAAATATTAATCTCAATATGTTATGTAATTCTGTTAGCCAACTAAAGAGTTGGACTTGAGACCTCTCTGATACCAAATGTAAGTTTTTAAATTTTGACTTCTCGAGAGGTCACCCAACCCTGTACTATTCAAACCCAAGGACGCTTAACCCTAAATATCCCAAGACCCTTAACTAATTGGAGATTGTAAGCAACCAAAGAGAATAACTTTAAAAATTATTTATGGGGTTCAAATATAAAGGGAAAGAGCTTGCAAATAAGAGTGCACCCCTTTTTCCAATCAGTTAAATGTCTGGGGATAATTGAGGTTAAGTGTCTTTGAGTTTGAATACTGCTGGGCTGGGTGACCTTTTGGGAAGTCCAAACTCAAGAGATTATAAGTATGCATCAACGAGGATGTTGATCTTCCCTAAAAGGGTGAGAGTGTTGCAAATGTGACTGTATATATCAAAAGTTACCTATTAGCTAATCCTTTCAGATATTCTTTCCTTACTACCACAATGGTAGGAAGTCAATATTGTTGGACCCTTTATCGATCCCTTTTATTCAAGTGTTAGTAAACTTGACTTATCATTTATACTTGGTTGGACAAACATAAGGAAGGAATTCCTAAGTGTCTATTTTGCAAATTATACTTGGCCTAGCTTGTTAGTTCTCTTTTGCTCTGTTTTAAACTAGCTTGATAAGAACCCTTGCAATATTGAACTTTGTCCCTCAATATCGCAAGATGATAGCTTACCATGTTTGCCAAACACTCTCACTATCATGCACCTTATATTAGTTCCATTTGGTCTTAATTTTTATTTATGTAAAGTGTCTAGATTTGCTAAATTTGTAGAATGTAGAGATTGTCTTGAACATAATGGCGTTGGTCCCATTTCTAAATTCATAATCTAGTGTCATTCCATATTTAGTAAGTTTCAAGTTTGTCCTAGAGACTAACTCTTGGTACTAAAGGTGGTAAAAGGGTTCGAAATATATGGGAGGGATAATGGGTAGGTTGGGCATGGCTAATCACTTGAGGAATAATTTAGCTCCCGCTTACATGCCTGTCTTTGTTTTGTGTCCGGCTTGGGTCTATACATAAATTCTACACCATGCTAGTTTATGGAGTATCGATGGTATACTAAAATAGTGTTAAACTCTGTTTGGCTCCGTTTTACATGCTGGTCTTAGCATTGGGATGTTAGATGCTCTAGGATTGTTCTAAGTTACGCCGTGCTCCTGTCCCTTCACTCTTTGGGCTGTATGCTTAAGAGTTATTCCGTGCTTTAGTTCCGTCACTCATTAGCTCCATGCTTAGGAGTTTGGCTCCGTTCTTTCATTTAGTAGCCTAAGGTCTTGAAACACAGATTCCACTTCACTTGGACACGTGGCATGTGACATGTGACATGTGGCACATGGAGGGTTT